AAAAAAAAAAAAACAAATCTGAAAAAAAGATATGTTATGAAGAAAAATAAATTAAACAAGATTTGCCTGAGTTTAACATCCAAATTCCTTACCAAATTTGAAATAAAAATAAAATACGAAAAACAAATACTAATAATAAAAATAACAAAAAACAAAAAACAAAAAAAAAATAGTGAGTGCACGAGCATGTTTTCGACACCGCCATCTTTGGCGATTTTTCTGTTTTTTTTTCCATAGCTAGCTGCCCTGAAAATTTCCAAATGTGTACTTTACATAATTCAAAACCCACTAAAAAAGTTTAAAAAATAATAAAATTGTTTAGACCCCGAACTAAAGTGAAAACAATAAGTAAAAAGTGAAAAACAACATGGGCGAGCACGTTTTGACACCGCCATCTTTGGCGATTTTTAATTCTTATTTGGCTGAGCTAAATGACTTGAAAATTTATAGGCATTTACCTGACGTCATAGAGAACTCACCAAAAAAAAATCATAAGAAACAAAATATGTTTAGGCCCCGAAATATTTTTTGGCGGGGGCCGAATGCCGTCGGTTCGGACCCCGTACGGGACCCCGAACGCCCGTACGTACGGAGGTCTGTTCGGGGACCTCCATACGTACGGGCTGGTGACCCTGTATATATATACATGGGTAACGCTCCCAGTTCCGGTCTATATGTGGCCGGCCTCCTACGCTTTTTTTTAAGGGAAAAAAAAAAACAAAAAAAGTTGACATTGCTCATCTCTTGCTCGTTCCAAGATACCCAGGTCTCCAGAAGCTGACGTGGAAACCTGGGGGCTCGCCACACCACTCATCAAATGTGCAAAACGGAGCATCTATCTTCTAGAACGTGAAAAGATACACCCCCTGCAGCATTTGTCGTTTTCACTTTTTTTTTTTTTTTTTTTGAAAACTTGGCTCCATTCTATTTGTGGGGAGCAGCATATGCTGGGAACCGGACCCAGCGTCCCTTATAAAATTTGGAAGTTGCATGTTGGGGCCGGGGTCCCCACAGTCTACCCGGAAAAAAGGAACTTATCTTGAAAGCATTCGCGGACATCGGAGTCATTACCCGATCTTATTTTGGACAAAAGGTACTCTCGGCTGGAAACCGGGTCCAGCGTCCCCTGATTACTATGTATTCTATACCATTTACCCTCTGCAAAACAGTATCTGAGTCCTGCCTGTAAGACCTCTCAGCCAAGAAGCTGTCCGAAGTTCCCCGAACTGGGTTGTCTGCCAGCCTCACAAGTGGGACCCAAACTTCTATGAACTAATAGCTTTTTCCTTCTTTTTGAAGGGAGCATTATCAGATATTAACTTATAATCCAGGGGAGGACTCAACAGCGTAGTCTCTCAGCCAAAAGGCTGTCTGAACAAAGTGAAACGCTGACTTGCTGCTCTGGACCTCTCACTGGATCTTTTTTTTTTCCCCATTTTTTCCCCTTTTTTTAAGTTTTTTAAACTTTTTTTCCTTTTTTTTTTTTTTTTTTTTTGTGGGGAGCAGCACCTTCTGGAAAACGGGTCCAGTGTCCCTGTAAACAAGCAAAGGTCATATACACATCCCACGTGTTCATCCTACTATAATCCTGAGTGGTTAACGAGCCGACACGTAGGCACACACCGTTTAGTCCGATGAGCAGGCTAGATTGCCCTCAACCGAGGGAATTAACTGCCCATCACTATCTAATGACATAACCCTGCTCAGAACCCTCGTTATATACTAACAAGCACTTACTTCGCCATGAGGGGAAGAGATAATCAGAGTAGGGAGGAAGAAATTCATAGGGAATCAGCCACGTCTCAGACCAGTAGTGAATCGCATTGGGTACCCTACCACGTGGCGAATTTATCGCAAAGGAAAGGTTGCAAGCACTGAAGTGACAATCCCCACGTGGCAGGGCACCAGTCGATTGTGGAACAGCCCCGATCCGATCCTCACAGCCCCATCTGCCCCACCATGTGGCCAAAACCCATATTAGCTACATTCGCAACGAATTGAGATCGGCAATTACGTATGACAAATTGAGATCACCAAAATATGCATGACAGATCGATGATACTATCTGGCATTCGCTAACCTACCCCTTCGAGCCACCATCTCACTCCTCACACCCCCACACAACCTTCCTGTTTACTAATCACTCATTCCGCCGACCAACTGCCCATCCCCCCAATCAAAATATAACGAATCCCCAATCGCACTTGCCACTTCGTAAGTGTCATCGTTGTTGTTGTTGTTGTTGTTGTTGTTGTTGTTGTTGTTGTTGTTGTTGTTGACACCGGCAGCATCGTTATGTTTACTGTCGCTGTTGTTGTCGGTACATCTCGCCAACGCGCACGAGCGCGGAACCCCTCCTTCCATGCCACCGTCGTGCACAGTCTTCTCATTGCCGGTGTAGTCGTTGATATCAATATCAGTGGCCTGTGCAACTGTCAGCATCGTAATAACAGGCCTGTCGTTGTCGTTGTTGCTGTTGTTGTTGTTGTTGTTGTTGTTGTTGTCGTTGTTGTTGTTGGTGGTGGTGGTGGTGGTGGTGGTGGTGGTGGTGGTGGTGGTGTAGGCGAGATCGTTGTGGTTGTTGCTGCCGGTCTTAGTAGCGTCGTCAGCGATGGGGTCGATGCCTTGAATGCCATCCTCAATATCGTCATCGTCTTCGCAGCATCGGCCTTCCAGCTCAGCACAAAGAGCTTGCCTCTCCTCAAGCTCCATATAGTAGCACCACATCAAGCCTCGCAATCGTGGCGGATCTATGCTTACTTCCAGATGGGGGGACGGCCCCTCCTCCAATCCCCATGTGATCTCCATCAGGCATCGCTGCATATCTCGGATCCACGAAAGCGACGACACCATTCTTTCAGCCACCGCCGATCGCAACTTCTCCACCAGCTGACTTAAACGCGCGCTGGCGATTTGGACTGTAAAAAGCCATCCGGTTACACCCGTCCACGGTTCATACAGATTCGCCATCGCCAGCCGTCACTCAGCTCTCACCCCTGTTGTGGTTGGTACAATCGCCCGGAAAAGAATGAGCGCACTCTTCTGTGTTGTCTTTCAGCATTCGCGCCGACGTGCCGTCTCCTAAGTTGCCACGTGAGAAACCCACATACGCCCAGGCAAAGCACTGGGACGGGCAGTAGGACGACCAAGTGCAGCGATGGCTGAGACCACCACTGCTCCAGTCCGCGGAGTGCGGCCGAGCCCAGCCGACCGGTCCGCAGCGCAGGTTAGCGCCGTCACATTCTCTTCATCAATCCCCCGGTGGTGGCAGTCGACACCCCCCCCCGGACCAATTTGAGAACCCCATCTCTACAGTGGTGAAGTAAGAACTTAAGAGCTGCAACCTAGCAGGATACCAAGCCAGATAACGATCAGGACTGTTTGATCTTTATAGGGTGAATGAGGTAGAACTGGCAACGAGGGATTGAGAGATTCATCATGGTAGGTGGGGAACAGCAGGTAAGGGTAAATTCACAGGGTTGAGACTGTTGAAGGGGGGGTAAAGGATTGGGGGATGCTGCTTGGGAGAGATTATATAAGGCATCTTGATATACTAATGCTCTAGTGGGGCGGGAGGCGCAGCAACCATGTAGTAAAAAACAATTTAAACAAGTATTGCGTTAACCAAGTGGTGTGAGGAGGGAGGCCAGGGGTTCACCAGGTGGACACATTTAGGGGGTGGGCGATATGGGATCCCATAGGTATTTAGAGTATTGCAGATTGAAGGATTCAGAGACAGAAGCCCAGGGAGTGGGGGCATGCCAGCTCTGGTTTAATTGTTCCACTGTCGCTTCTATGAGGATTTCCTTTTCAGAGAGACCCATTCTGCTGCTATCGCCGTCTGTAGAGAGTGACAAAATATAGGCCCCAGTTCCGCAGCCTGCTGGATGACGTTGTGAAATCTCCTGTCTCTACGGGCCATCCACAGGCACCAAAAGCCTCTGAGGCGTATCTTGACGGCGATCTTCTCTTTTGTCGAGTCCAATAGGCCGGTGTAGTCTCTTCCAGTAATGATGAAGTCTTTGTTCCATATGTTTGTGTCCCTGCCATAGGTCTGCAGCCAGGTTGTAGAAATCTCTTCCCAAAAACCACGAGCGATGACACACTCCCACCATAGATGAGGTGAGTCCTCGAGAGTGGCGTGGGGACACGCGTCACAGGTGGTGTCGATGTCCATGCCCTTGCTCAAACACCATGCAGCTGTGGGTGTACTTGAGCAAAGGTGCAGCCACTGGAGGCCACCTACTTCCACCTCAAGACACCCAAGGATCATCTGGATGTAGAATTGTATCCATTCGGGAGTGATAGGGCGTAGGTTGAGGGTTGAGATGTGTGAGGACCATTTGTAGTGAATGTTAGCTTGTAGGGAAGCACTTTTAAAGTGGAGTTTGTAGCCAACCTTGGATGAGTACTCAGTCAGGGGGATCTTGGTAACCGTACCGATGTTGTCAGTCCATGTCCATCCGGTCTTCTCTGGGTCGACAGTCCATTCATGGGGCGGTGTAGCTCCTATGGTGACTATATACGAGGCTAGCCCTTGCTGATCTTTAGTCATTGTTATGGACACCTCCTCCCATTGTGTATTTTGAAGGACGTGGGTAGTACCTGCTAGAGTTTCCAATTTCTGGTTTGCAATGGTCCACTTTGTGGCGTTGACCGTACCGTCTACGAGTATCTCTTCCATTCTGTAGATAGTGGCAGGTAGTCTTCTGTCTCTGATCCATTGTAACGGCCGGAGAGATGGGGTGGGGGACCTAAGAGTGTCCAGCCATTTGGTGGGGATAGCGTTTTTGATTTCAAACAAGTGCAGTTCCGCAGATGTGGGAGTTGAGTGTGAATGGTATCTGCTGTTTTCCAGTCTGCAGTCTCCGTGTCCCATACATGTTTCACCAGCCATATGCCTTGTTGCATCCATTTTCTGTCAAAGTTGCCGGTGCTTTTACTCACCGAGAAGGTTGATCTTTCGGCATTGAGTATGATGGGATTCTCGAATAATCGAGTATTGAGAATCTCATCCTTGGTAGTGGGTTCTTCAAGAGTGAAGGGAAGCATTCCGCTCCATTCCTTTAGAATGGGTTTCCAAGTGCCCTGGATGTCCTGGGTTACAAATGCGTGCATCAGCAAAGCATGCCATACTGCAGCCGGGTCAGAGAACTCCCAGTGTTTCGCTAGGATGTATTGGGCAAGAGTAACCCATGGTTGGTTCTCTCTGTTGGTAAGGGCCCTGACAGGCCATTCGGCTAGAAGTGCGCTGGTCTGAATTTCTGGGTTTAATATGCCCAACCCCCCTTCTCTTTTCTTGGCTGTTATATTCTTCCATGAGACTGATTGGATCTCTGAGTCCCCCTTCCATAAGAAGCGGGTAGCCAGTCTTCTTATGGATGCAGCCATTGTGGAGGTAAGTCCTCGTATGGAGAGAATATACCAGTATTATTACCAGATAGTGGAAAAAATGGTTGCATTAATCACCATCGCCCTCCCCATGAGGGAAAGGAATTTGGTCTTAGACCATCTAGCATAGGCATCTCTTACCCTTTCTTCAACCAATCCCGCCTGGGGGTGAGTGCAATCTGAGAAGGATACCTGTATGCCTAGGTATCTTTCTGCTTCTGTATGTGGTCTAACTGACGCCTCGAGGTCCAATGCCAAGGTGGAACCATCTGGGGTCGTTCCAACCGTTTTCTGCCAACTTACTCTCATTTCGGATGCCTGCTCATAAGTGGACAAGCATTCTTTGAGGGCGGATAGTGAGGCAACCGAGTTTTCAGAGATGGCTGTAAAGTCATCGGCAAGTGCAGAGATGGTGATATTGATAAATGGTGATAAGTCAATGTAATGATCGTAATTACGAACCATATTGAGCAGGACTTCAGCTTCAATGACAAAGAGGGAAGCGGCAAGGGGGCAACCTTGTCGTAGGGATTTGGTCACCTTGAAGGGGGCTGATGGGAAACCCCATTAATCAAGACTCGTCCTGGGGGAGCATTGTATAGAGTTTTCACCATTCGCTTGAATCTGGGACCAAACCCTTTTCTTTCTAGGACAGCTTTGGACGAAGTCCCAGTTGACTCTGTCATAAGCCTTTTGAAAATCTATCAAGATAATGGCTTTATTTAGGTTATTGGTGTTGATTATGTTAATAGTCTGAGAGATGGTCATGACATTGTCAAGGATCTGTCTTCCTAGGACAAATCCTATCTGGTCCGGGTGTACCAGTTTGGTCAGTAGAGAGGAGATTCTTATTGCCAGAACTTTGACCAAGATATTGCCTGAGACATTTAAAAGAGATATTGGTCTGTAGTTCCTCACATCTTTCTTGTCCCCTTTCTTATACAGAAGAGTAATAATTCCTTCTGTTGTTTGAGGCCCCAATGAGCCTTCTTGGAGAATACCACTGAAGACTTAGGAGATCCGGGGCTAGGAGGTCCCAAAAAAGGAGGTAAAATTATACTGGGAGACCGTCGGGTCGTGGGCATTTTCCTTTGGCCATACTTTGGATAGTGTCCGTAAGTTCTTGGAGGAAAATGGATTGTTCGATCCGTCCTTTTTCTTCCTCGGAGAGAGTTTTGTGTGTTGAGTCACAGTGCATTCTTTCCAAGTGGGGTGTTAACAATGCTCCATTGCACGAGTGAATATTTGGCAAACACAAAAAAATCTTCAACAATAAAAAACAAACCTAAAAAAATAAAAATCCTCAAAAAAATAAAAAAATAAAAAAATTGAAGGCTAAAAAAAAACAAACAATGCCGGTTAATTCTCACAAAATTACAAGCGATTAAAAAGTTATGTATTTTTAATGGTAATCTGCCTGTATACTTGTTTAGGAACGCATACATATTTGTACTGATTACTAGGGCCATTACCCGACTTCGGCTCTGGGAGAGACTTGCATGTGAAGTAAGCTGCGTTGATGCAATTCAAAATAATTGAACACTTATGTTAGATCTCACAACATTCATTATGTGTCAATGGTGTCGATAACAATTGCACCTTTCTTGCCTCACTGTTGAGGTGATGTCCCTAGCCACTATCCATCCACATATATTATGTGTTGTCTATCTCTAGTATCGTGAATGCCCTGCTCCTCTGCTCTCTGCATTTCCACCCATAATGCCATTGAATCTCTTCGGTCAAAATCCCATACCTGCATCTTCTCCATTTCCCTTTATTGTTGTCCAATTCAACTTGTTTTTGTCTGCTTGCCTTTCCATTCACTTTCCGGCTGAATGATCAGGGGTCATGTGGTGCGCATAGGTGAGTGTGTGCTGGATGCACCTCTCTTTTATCTTGCTCTCTGGTTTATAGTCTACTTTTGTGACTCCCGATATGTAACCGTATCAGCCTGCGCACAACTTCTATATTGAATTCCGCGATCTTTCCATTCTTCCTGCCTTTTTTATTGCTGACACCTATCGATGCTCCACAGACATGAGATCCGATCTATAGTGAGTGGTGGATGGCCCAGTGGCTAGGGCACCGGGTTGGAAATGCACATTGTGGTATGAGGTTGCGGGCTCCAAACCTCGTAGCCGTGTATAGGCCATCGGCACAGCGTTAGGTTGACCCACTACCACTCACACACTGAGCATGTGCACCCCCGGGGGCCACAGATGTTCATAAGGATCCACATAGACCTGTCCTGGGGTCCACCTGAGAGGGTTCCCAGCAGATACTAGCCCCTGCGTGGTCCTGGGTCCTCCGGAACGACTGCGCGCGCCTCCCCTTGGGTTGCTGGAGGCCATGGGGGGGAATGCTTCCAGGAGGGGCAGGCTCTGTGGGGATGAGAACGGGAGGAGTGAAGGGCTCACCCGCTTCCTAGCAGGAGCGACTCTCATTCCCACAACACCTGGTGACTGTGGTGCGCTTGCCTCCCGACCAGGTGCCTCGGGGATAGCGGACCCTGAGTTCGAGGGGGGTGCGCCCTGGCACAGCGGCCTGGTAGCTCCAGTCCAGGCTGATACTCCCGGGTGCGTGCTGCGAGGTCTCTATTCTCCCCCCTCTCTGAGTCATTCCTGAGTGAGTGGGTGAGTCCGCTGTGCCTATAGGTGGGCTGAACCTGACGC